CATGTTTATTCGAATTAAAACTCAGTTAGTAAATCACGACTTGAGAATCATGATCATGATAAATATCGTAAAATTTGGGAGGTAATATTAATATCCTCGTCCGTTATCATAAATTTCATTTGGATATCTGTCCATAGAATTGGATCAAGAATTTTATGATAAGGACGAACTTTTTTAAAAATATCTTTTCCGGAAATTTGAAAATAACGGATTAAAGGAAGACAGTTTTTAAGTGTATTTTTCAGGATTAAGAAGTCTGCATCAGACCATTGTTCAGGGTTAGGTGTTAAAGAAGGATTCTGCACAATTCCCCATCTAATAACATGATCCCAAATTAATACTTCATTCATTTGTAAATTGTCAAGTTTTAAGATAAAGACTAGAATCTTTTCCGAGATGTTAGTAAATTCATCAGAATCAAAAACAATATTCGGATACTTTGCAATGATATTAACACAAAATTCTTGTAAAGCATTGAAATTATCGCTTTTAAAACTAGCTTGGTATACACGAGAAAAATTTAAACGTAACCAAGAAGCGTTATTCTCGATTAAAAATGGTTGAATATGCTTAACCAATTCTTCAATACCAAATTCGTTAGAAGCAATTAAAAGATCAAAGATAACGGAAGTGTCTACTTTTTCTAATGTAATAGTCCCATCGTAGATATACCTGCATGTTAACATTTATTAGATACTGTATGATGTTCAATTAAATTTTTTTTTATTGTATTACTTACTTTATTAAGATATCAAATACTTCAACTGAAATTTCTATATTTTTAATTGTTTTAACGCTATTTTCATAAGGGATTGCACTTAATTTATCTTTAAAGTATGAACACCGAGAATTTAGGATAATAGAATGTGCTTTAAACACTTTATTATTTGGTGCTTGACCAATTTCAATAATGACATTATATTCGTCACCATTTATAAAAAGGTCACTTAAATTTCTTGAAAGCTTTTCAAAAAATTTGGTAGTCATTTAGCATTAGAAGATTATAAGGAAGTAGTTATTTAATTTCCGTTGCTTTGCGTTACTATATGCTATTCGGTAACACAATATCCAAATTTACAAACAATAAGATTATCCTTTATGTACGGACGTATGACGTACATACGTACGTTTATCATTGCAGATAGATGAAAATCACGTTATGGACATAGTACGTAAATCATAAATCATAAATCGTTACTAATCTTCGTTTATTAATTTGACTACAATTGTGCAAAGCAACATAAGTGCAGCATGGCCAAAATATTGTTTTCTCATGTATTTTTGTTCGTAACAGACAAATTAATTTTAATAATATACAATTTAAATCTAGAAAGATCAGATATCAATAAATTCCTTCCAAGGATTATAAAAACACGCATCTCGTATTTTTTCTGTTAAGAGAAAATAAGGCCATGCAACATTAATCAATTGGTTTTCATAACCCAGCCGGTTCACAATTTGAAAACTTGTAAAAAAAATTTTTTTATATGTTTTAATAACCGGGTGGGTTTTTTAAAATATTTTTTAAAAATTTTAAAAATTTTTATATATGAAATTTAAAAACAAAGCCGACCGGCCGGGTCTGTTTAAAAGTTTCATGTTATGAAAACCAATATATTAAATTCGTGTGGCTTAAATTAAGGTGTCCATACACGCTTTTTACGCGTTCTTTTTTGTTCGCTCTGATCTACAAGTATTTCTTGTAATTCACGATCTAGTCGAATGTTGTTGATTAAGAAATATTATAAATAATGAGGATACTTTATAGGAAAATTGCGCATGAACTTACCAGCATATTCGTACTCTGTACGGAATAAAAAAGAAAGTAATAGAGATGGAAGCCAATTCGGATAGAATTATCATTTTTACGTTTTCGACCAACTCTATCTGTAAATATATCAACCAACTTAACCTGCTTAATTTGATGTTTAGCGTCATTTGCAATAGCTTTGCCTACATTTTATATATTCAAAAAAATTCTGTAAATGATTTATTGATAAACTAATTTGCGAAATACGTAAAGAATCCTATTCAGCCATTCGTCATTATTTTGATAACTAATGTTAATTAATAGAGAAAATTATTATTACTATTAATTTTTAACGTTTTTTAATTTATCAATTTTAGATAGCTTAACCAGCTTACCCGGAGGAGTTATCTTCCTGTAAAATTTCCCAGTAAATAATATAATGCATTATTACGTATTATTATTATTCAGCTTTAGTGATGTGATATATAATCATGCGGAAGTACTTATTCTGAAAAAAAAATCCAAGAAAAAAATCAGAATATCTAATAACAATAGCATTCTAGCATTAGCATTAAGCCTATTTTTTCAGATAAAAATCTTTTATAAAAGTATATATAAAGTCCCAAGTTAAACCTCTACGTGCGCTCATACCCAGCAATATATTCTTGTAATAGAGAAAAACTTGCACTAATCTTTGCCTGAAATATCGCGCCAACTGGAGAATCAAATCTTCCTATCGCAACATGTTTTTATATTCTGCAATGATTGAAAAACTCAAATCTCCACACGAGTACTTCCAGCAACGCGCCAACTGAGAATTAACCCTGCCCGATGCTTAATTAGTATCGCGCTTAGAGGAGACTTGAGATAATTCTGCAGAACATGTT